GGAAAGACAGAACACAATTTGGTCTTTCTAAAAAGTAGCTGTATTTTGATTTGGATTCTTTTTGGCTGAAGCAAAGCGGTTTCAGAGAAGAGGACAGGGAGGGCGAGTTCCAGGGAGGAGGGAAGGACGGGCGCTCAAGGTTTGGAGAGGGGAGGTGTAATTGTGGCAGTGGCTGGTAAGGTGCAATGAACTAATTTTGGGGGGTGTTTTATTGTGTACATGCTTTTTTTCTGTGTGCGATTATAAGGGCAGGGACTGCAGATGAAATAAGATAAATAACCAATAACTGCAATGATAAGACTTCTTATATTAAAATAAATTCAGAGCACTTGTCATTATTTCCCCAAACAAGAATTAGTGATGCATGCACGGGGATTGTTCGCCTTTGAATTAGAAAAAAACTCATATTCAGCCTATCAGAGGTTACAATGCTGCAGGTTTCTTCACATCTTATTTTAATAACGCACTTTTTCATCGCTTTGTTTTCTAAAAGCTCCCGAGAGTCTGAGTTTATTTGCTAAAGTTAAAATGAGGAATGCAGTGAAAGCGTTGTTTGAAGGTACATTTTAAAAATAGCAGATGTTAACACCCAATCTATCTGCAGCTTTGCTCCAAAAACACGTCCCTACAGTACAACCTACAGTACATCTGTACACAGGCAGGCGAGAATTGGGCAGGATTTCATCAAAAGGGGTCAAGTGAAGAGGGGCTGAATTGGGCGATGAGATCACCATGGCAACGAGGACCTCCGTGGTGCGGAGCACGAGGGAATGTGGGAGGGAGTTTCACGCTGAAGTGCCCCCAAAGTGGAAGGAATCGCTCTCTGCTTATTTTTTTTTCTCATTTTTTTTTACGTGCTTTCAGGAGATTCTCGTGGCTGCGGTCCAAGCGCCCACATTAATGAACTCTTCACACGCTCGCACACGCGCTCACACTCACACCCCATTACATCACGGGTAACAACACTTATATAACAGGACCTCGCGGACACTGAGGTGATTACACCAGGCTTACATCAGTGTCAGCAAGCCAAAATAAATACACACAGAAATCCATGTTCCTCGCTGACGATGGCAGCAACGCAAAAAGAAAATATGTACACGGAAACTAAACTAAAGGATTGCACATTTCAAGTGGGGGGGTTGGGGGGGGGGTGGTTACGCTTCACTTTCCTCATCTTGGTTTGTTCTGTAGTCACAGGATGAATTCAGCTTTTTTTTTTAAAAAACTCTTATTATTCTTAAGATTCCTCAAGGTTACAAAAAACAAGGTGGCAAAACAAAATGAATCCACCCATTCTGCAGGCTGCTCGGGTGTTTGAGGACATGCCGAAACTAAAGGCGAGCAAACCAGAGGACAGGAAAGATGAGAGGCATCACATCGAACAGCCCTGCAACAGAAAGGAAAGCAAACATTTCAGCACAATCACAAATATGTCATCTTAAGGCGTGAATCGAACCAGCGTGTTTGTTGTAGCCAACAATACCCCCACCCCGAACAGCCTCTTTCAAATATTGTCAGCGCTGCGTGACCAAAAGCATCAGGGGACTCGTGTGGCAAACATGTCCTCTGAAAATTCATAAAAGTGCCCTTATTTTCTATTTCACCCGGCTCACATTTCCGTGGAGTTGATAAATATTCACGCCTGAATGCCACCTCTGTCCCCAGGGGCTGTTTAGTAGTGAGCTTTTTTCCTCTTCTTCCCCCCACTGTGCTCTAAATTTGAAAAACTGAGCTTTTTTCCCCTCTTTTCTTTTTTTAATTTGCGAAGAACAAATGAAGGCGCAGGAACTGATGGTACTGAGTGGCAGAAAAGGAAATACAGAAAAACGAAACAGCTCTCAGGTTTCTTCTCAATAATTTGTTTGCCTATGGCAACGGCTTGGTTTTTTTCTTTGAAACATAAAATGATTCCACACAGCTATGAAATAACCATTCATTTAAACTCTTAAAGGTCCACATATACGACACATGCACATGGTGATATGTAGCAAAAGGTCTCTACATAAAAACCTGTGTATTTCTTACCCCGTAATTCATCCAATTCATTGATTTGATTACACTTAAAGTCTTTTTTCCACAGTAAACATTTATGAACAGCCACTGTTTTTACTCAGTAATGGTCATTTTATGACAAAAAAAAAAAATAAATCAGCAGTGAGCTTTTGTTTTGAAGGGTGATGTTCAGTGTGTGGGTGTACTTAAAAAGATCTGTGATTCTGCAGCGACTGTACAGACTGTATTTAATTTTTACCAGGGATGGGCATTTCAAGCATAATTACAGTCGCTTATCATATCCGAGCAGTCCTCAACTGCCACCTTCTGGTAACAGCAGGACATTACATACAACCAGGTGACACCCCCCAAAAAATTATGAGGAAAAGAAACAGTTATATAAACAATTTGAGATTTTACATAAATAAAAGTGACCTATTAAGCTCATTTCCAGTTCCACACTTTTATTCCTGGACTGTACTACACCCAGCATGCATGTTTGTGCACCACCGTTTGTGCTGCCTTTGGATAACGCATGGAATCATCTAGACTAGCTTTGGACTGACATTCAGTGAGCCAGTTACCCACTTTGCTTAGATTCTGTCATCATATCATGGACATGTCACCTGAAATCTACTTAACAGATTTTATAATTAAGTTTAATTTCGACTACTGAGCCATTTAACGGTAACAATGATCAATTCGGTGGACAACTAATTTAGAATTCATCCAATGTGCACAATTTTCAACAGGCTTGCGCTTACCTATACTCTTTTAGACCGGTCTGTTGTCCACCTCGTATCAGATCGTACCTTAAGGTCCAAATTAGTCACCTCAGCTGCACAAGAATCTGGGTCAGTGGCACCAAGTATTAAATCCCGGTTCTTTTGTATTCTTTACGGCCAAAAAGTCCCAGCTCAGAAGTGGTCCTTTTACTTTAAAAATGATCTTTATTTTACATATCTGGGATATGGAGACCTGAACACAAAACACACAATCCAAGGTCTGAAGCACAAACGGAAGCCCAAGTATTTATATACTTGTTCTCCACGTCACACCGCACTTTAAGTTTCGATGCAACAGCCTAGTTGGTTTCACTTTCTAGCTGCAAAAGCACGCTCTGCAAAAGCATGTAATTTCCTGTCAGCACTTTTGGCACAGAGTGTACTCAGAGTTGGGCCTTTCTTATAAAGCAATATAATCAGCATATAAACATTTAAGATGATAAATTTAAACCTCAGCATCGCCTCTGAGGTTCTGCTCAGCCAAACTTACCCTGTTTACTCCCAGAAGTAGCGCAGGTACCATATAGTTTCATTCTTGAGCTGAGGACCAAACAGAGGGTTGGTCTGGGCCAGAATGGCTATCAACCAACTAGAAAGAGAAAGTGAGAGAGAGCAGATAAATGACAAAGCACCATCAGTGTGGTGAAAGAACATGGGTGCATTTATCATGGTTGTAACCAGGTCACGGTACCATTCGATCGTATGAGCTGGAAAAAAAAAAATCTGGATTCCAATTGAAGCAACTTTAAAAAAAATGATTCTGTTTAGGGCTGTTCGATATGACGATATATATCGGATGACGATATAAAAACGCTATCGTTTGTTTCGTGGTGTCGCAAAATAAACTGTTTACGGCAATATTTTTTCATCGTTTTGATGGTCACTGTAGTGGCTATATTCATTTCTTAAAGTTCTCTCTTTCTCTTATATTTAATATAACCACACTACAGACGGACAAGCACCTGTTTTTATGCGTTGTCGTTAGCAACAACGACGGTAAAACCTTTGCATGTCCGCTTGTTTATTTTCCACATAAACCTTTCACAATAAAGCTCAAGATCCTGTTGAGACTTCAAAATAAACTGAATCACATGAAGGATTATGCCGAGTATTTACGGATGAGAAACAAGAAAGAGTCGTCAGGTGCTAAAAAACTAAACCTTAGACTCAAACGTTAGGCTTTTCCCCGCAGCACGCCGTGTAATAAATACTCACAAAGAAAACGGCGGCCTTTACAACTTATGTCTAAAAATGCATCGTTTTATGCATCTGTTAAAACACTCGTTTCCAGGTACACGACGCCCAGCTGGAATCACTTCACGCGAGTCGAGCTGCCCGAGATTCACAGAATTTACAGAAAATGTTAAATTTTTGTGATTTATATCTTTATCGGACGATAGAATTCTTATATCGGGATATGAGATTTGGGTCATATCGCACAGCCCTAATTCTGTTATAAAACGTTATCAGTTATTTATGCCAATCATTACTAACAAGAAAAACAAGGAATTCAATACCATCATAATTTCTATCTTTTTAAAATACAAAACTGACATGAGAGAGAGGAGTGCGACCTTCATCCCTCTTTACTGGACTTTAAGTCAGACGCTCTTCTGGGAACTTATTATAGAGTCAATTTAGAAAAAGTGATTAATAGCAGATTAAAATTCAGGCACAGCAACTTAAGCAGGACGCTTATTTGTAAAGGTGAAGAAAAAGGAGTGGTGAGGGTCTAAGAGTCAGTCTCTCTGAGTGGTCTCGACTGAGACGACAAAATTACTTTTTATCTTTATGAAAGCAAAAGGACACTTCAGAAGATGTGGACAAAGAATCGAGGCAACGACTGACTGTTAAAAGCAGGATGTAGAACTGCCCCACATAATAATAGTAATAATGAAAAACAGAAGAAAGATGAAATTCCAATCTGGCTCCTCTAAATGTCAATGTGTTAGAAACCCTCCAACACAGTTTGCATCAGTGTCAGCTTACACAAACACTTTCTGTTATTATCTCAGGGCTTCAGTAAAAATACCAAAAATAAGAAAAAGAAAACAGATTGGCTGTAGTGTTCTATTTGTAGCCAGTATCTACTGCTGAAGTTCTGCCAGAGGCAGAAAACTGGGTCATAAATTAGCCGAAGCCAACTGTAGACACTTGTAGAAAGCAGTCTGTAGCCTGAGCGAAGGAAGAGTTTATCCAATGCAGAGAAACATGAAATGGAAAAGAAGGTCTCCTCGTTTGTTCACAGCACTTTTAATAAACTGGTTAAAACCTTTTCTGCTTTTATTTTTCTTCCTGTAAGCCAATCTGTGCATGTTTTTAAACGCTCTTCGTAAATAAGCTTGTTATTATTTTTGGGAAAAGAACAGCAGACACTCACGACACACAGCGAGATTTGTGGAACAGATCTGTACGGCTGATCCAGGTACATCATTTCCAGGCTAAAACTGTGCAAACAGTGTATGTTTACAGTACGAATGCTGTTGTTGGTGGAGGTTTATCCTGAGGGTGCCCAGCTCCCTCTAGTGGTAGAATGATAATCTTATTTATGCACATCCCACCTCTTCTTGCATCCCCATTTTTTAATCCCCCTTAAAACGGCGACTGCTTTCAAACTGAACATTTCTGATGATAGACCAGAGGACCAGAGCCCTCCTACACATTTGCAGGTCCCCCACAGAGCCATAGCCAAACGAGTGCAGGGTACTGGTGTTCCCTGAAAATGAATGCTGATTGCCATGTCACTTTGCGTATATGCCAAACTGCTGTTTGTTTTATAAAGCATTTCAGTCGGGACCACTATGCTGAGAAGAATATTGTTACTGTCGTGGTCGTTTTCATCTGCTGTAATTTACTTTAGCTGCGCAGCTCTCCTCTGGGACCTCTTTTGACCATTCCGTGTGATTACACACAAAGCTGGAGGCAGTGATAGAAGAAGCAGGACTTAACCGCAGTACGGAGCAGATATCAGAGACAACAAACACATTGATGAAATATGAATACAAATATTAAAACACACAGACTGCAGACAAACACAAACTATGAATTCTTTTTATTTCATGCTGAGGTGGATGAAGATGTTTTGATTACGAGCTGCCATCAACATAATCTGCTGAATTTTCCACACTGATTCATTGGGGAGGCTGCGGGTTGCAAAGCAGTTTGCAGCTGTGCACCAACTGTAGGCTACATGAGCTTAAACAGCAAACCCTTTATGAGATTTATCAAGGATAACAACTGAGCCATTACTGATACTTCCTGCCACTGAGATCTTTCAGTCTTTGTTACCTGTCTGGGTTCATTCCTGTGTTTCAGTAGTCTTATTAGTATGCTGGTATTTTAAATGTAGATATGGACAAATTACAGACACATAAGGCCAAATGAAAGATTTGAGTCAGCCCCACTAGGTGCATACACATATATATGCATCTACAACACTGGGACACTTTAGAGTTCATATCTTTTTCAGTTTGACCTTCGTTGTGCTATCAGACGAGAACAAGCCTGGTTAGTTTTCTCATCTTTCGGATTTCTGTCTCAACCAAACCCCAATTTGTGCTCTCTCTCGCTCTCTTATTGCACTTGGGAAAAACAAAAACAAAATAAAACTCGTGTCAGCAGGAATCAGCTGGCTGATGGCGTTGCTGTGACTCAGCTCGTCAGGCTGCAGATGTTTTACAGGGTTTGTTATCAGTGTGTAACTTCTAGGGCCTCCAGCACACACGGGATGTTGTTAACCCAATGCAGAAGTATCCTCCTTGTAAAATGTAAAACAGATGTCCCATTGGGCATAATTAATGCTTTTGAGAGAAAGAAAGGCAGAGAGCATCCATTTTCCTTGATTTCCCTCGCCTCCCATGAAAGCAACATGGAGCTGTTAGCTGATAGAAATAACGAGTTAAAAGTTGGATTTTAGTTGATTCAGTTGAGTAAAAGTGTAAAAGTCTGTTGTGTTTTTATTGGTGAGTGTTGATCCACAAGGTTTACAAAGCGTCTTATTTTCCTTGACATCAAACAGCACGTCTATCCTTACTGCACAAGGCGACCACTTCCAAACTTGGCTCGCCTTTCTACACAACTTAACTGGTTCTATCTGGGTCTCATCTCCATTTTCACCTTGTTTATTGAAAAAAGTGTCAATACATTTCATCAGAGTTTTTGTCCTCATGCATTATCATCTTGTTTTTGTAGAAGAAAACTATGACGAACATTATTGCTTAATTAACAACCTATTCATCACTGTTGCTTTTTAAAACGTAGCTGTAGATCTTCTCGCTTCATGTGTATCAGCACGCACGAGTTTCCACCACATGGCCTGCTGCAGGTTCTGACTACAGTGACTCTCCAGCACAGAGCAGATTTTAAAGAGTAGAGCAAGAGTTACGTGTGCAGCTGCAGTCCCAGATGTTGGAGTGTGGGTGACTGTGGGAGTGAGATCATCAGTGGGCAAGCAGCTGAATGACACTGAGGACTGGCTCAATATCAGCCTGGCAAGAGTTCAACGGGCACACAAACAACACACAGGAAGGGCCAGACCTCAATGGTAAGCAGTGACTGAACTTTCAAAATAAGAGCAAGGGGACTTCCTGCTAGTGTTGTTCTGTCAGATAAATTGTAAAAAAAATCCTAACGTGAGTCACCAAATATATTTCCACAGCAGTCAACATTCCTGGGCAGGTCACTGACCTGGTCTGTGTGTGAGGAAACACTGATGTTTATCTTCATACTTCATATGTTGGTCACTAAAATGCTACAGCCACAAAAAACATTTTATTTACAGTAAAAAAATTTAAAAAATAAAAAAATAAATAACATGGTTTCATATTCTTATGAAACCGATGGTAACTTATGTCATGTATTTGGCAAAAATTTACCCTTGGAGATAGAGCCAGGTAAAAAGACCCTGTCCCCTCTGTGCCTCTAAAAATTCTCAATTTGCTAGTAAGCCTGTGGCAAATACAAATCAAATCAAAATGTATTTATATAGCACATATTAAAACAACAGTGTTGACCATAGTGCTTCACATTCAGTAAAAACATGAGACAATTAAAACAAACAATAAAACAGGACAATAAACAATAGGCAACAACACAACAAGCTAAAACAGCCAACTAGTTAGAATCAAAGGCCGAAGTAAAAAGATACGTTTTAAGACGTGATTTAAAAGACTGGATAGACTCTGCAGTACGAATATGAACAGGGAGGTTATTCCAGAGTCTGGGTGCCACGGTTGCAAAGGCCCGGTCACCTCTCGACTTCATTCGAAACCTAGGTTGTGCTAGGAGCCTGTGATTGGATGATCTAAGTGCTCTGTTGGGATTGTGTAAGAGGAGTAGTTCAGAGAGATAGGTGGGCGCTAAATTATTCAGAATTTTAAAAGTGAACAAAAGAATTTTAAAATCTATGCGATATTTAACAGGGAGCCAATGTAGTTTGGCTAAAATTGGAGTTATGTGTTCATAGATTCTCGTACCTGTTAAAAGACGCGCAGCTGCATTTTGAATTAACTGAAGCCGGTAAAGAGAAGAGTGTTGGAGGCCCGAGTAGAGGGAGTTACAGTAGTCCAATCTGGATGTGATAAATGTGTGGACAAGCTTTTCAAGATCCTTTAAAGGAAGGAATGGCTTTGCTTTAGATATGTGACGCAACTGGCAAAAGCTGTTTTTTACCACAGTGGACACCTGTTTCTCAAGTTTAAAAGAGCCATCCAGGAACACTCCAAGGTTCCTTACAGTGAGCGAGAGATGGCTAGCGAGAGGGCCTAGGGCGTCAGCTAACTGGTCTAGCGGAGTGTGACTACCAAAGACTATGATTTCGGTCTTATTCTCGTTCAATGTAAGAAAATTATGTGATAACCAAATTTTAGCTTCATGCAAACAGTTGAACATCAGACCCTTTATTAGTTACACCTCACTAACAATCTCTATCTTTCGCTCTCCAAATCTCAAAGGTGCTCTATTGGATTAATATCTGGTGACTGTGGAGGCCATTGGAGTTCAGTCAACTCACTGTCATGTTCAAGAGTTTGAGACGATTTGAGCTCCAGCGTGTAGCAGAAGCCATTTCCCCAAATCATTACACTACAGCTAACTTGAACTGGGGACACAAGGCATGGTGGATCCATGCTTTCATGTTCCTTATGCCAAATTCTGACCAGACCAACCAAAGGCTGCAACAGAATCTAAGACTCATTAGACCAGACATTGTTTTTACAGTCTTCCTTTGAAAATGTTTTGTGAGTTTGTGCTAAATAAAAGAGCAGGAGTGGTAACGGTGTGGTCTTCTGCTGCTGTAATCCATCGGCTTGAAGCTTCAAAGTGTTGCGTGCTAAGAGATGCTTCTGCACACCTCAGTTGTAACAAGTGGTTATTTGAGTTACTGTCGCCTTCCTATCAGCTCAAAGCAGTCTGGCCATTCTCCTCTCATCTCTGGCATCAACAAGGCATTTTAGCCCAGGTTACTGCAGCTCACTGGATCACCATTGCTTGGCACCAACAGCCATTCCCCATTCAAAGTCATATTTCAATCACCTTTCTTATCTATTCTAATGATCAGTTTGAGCTTCAGCAAGGAGTCTACATACCTAAATTCTTTAAGTCGCTCAAATGTGATTGGATGATTAGATCCCTGCATTAATGAGCCCTTGAGCAGGTGTACTTAACAAAGTGGCCAACATGCAAAATGACAACAGCTACATACCAAAGAAGAGTAAGCAAGTAGGTACTTACAACAAGTAGCAACAGATCGCTGTAAGGATCAGACTGGTGACAATCACACTGTCAGAGAGAGCAGAGGAGTCAGAGTCACACGTGCCCACTTTTACTATTATAACATTCATAAGCAAACATTATTAAAATTAGATCCCGAGTCACATACTGAGCAATACTGGACATTAATGCACAAACGATAGAAATATTGTAATCACACAGTTTTTCAAGGAGACTGGCCCTGACTCCACGACTTACAATCTTCCCCGTACTCTGCTTTTCACAAATAAAACCATCAGAATGACTTTTGTCCAAACGAGCCCACATTATCCCTGCCGACTCGACCTTTGAAATTACTTGTAGTGTGTGTGTGTGTTTGGATGGAGGGATAGCTGAATGACTGTTTCGTGGATGACGCTGGGCCTCCATCACCAGAAGAGGATCAGGAGCACGCTCGCGCGCGTCGCATATGTCTAAAGATTCTTTCCGACCGACACAGCGAAAACACTAACAGCAAGGAAAATACAATTATAGTTACAAAGTATAATAATAACACTGTCAAATGAAAGGGAACGCAAAATGATGTCGTTAATTGTATCCAATTAAAAGCAGTTACACCACCTACCCCCGATTGGGTCCTTTGGGCACTAAAAACGGAGCTACGACCCCCACCAACGCCCATAACGTGGTGAAGCAGATCATCGGCAGGGCGAGAGAATGATAGACCATGGCTTCAGTCCGCAGGACCCCGCAGATGTACAAAAAAATCTCTGCTTGTCCTTTTGAAGATAAAGATGCTTCAATGGCCGCTGAGCCAGTCTGTCGCCTCTGTTAGGGACCCGCCCAAATCAGTCGCTGCTGTCGATGATTGGTTGAAAGCTCTGCTAAAGCGACGTTTTATTGGTTCAGCCTGCTGTCTTTCAGCATTACAGAACGGGGGGATTGGACGGATGTATATGCCAGCAGATTAGAGGCAAGTGCAGACCCCCTCACCATCACCACATCACACACCATGCTTTCAGCAGAAATCTATATATTTAATTAATTAATTAAACCATAACCAAATATAAACATTTCTAATAAGTTAAGTTTCCATATTTGTTTTTCTGCTACAGCTTCTTATTGTATACTTCCTTTTAGTAAATGGTACTGGTATTCTAAACATCCAAATATCATGTCACATTTGACCTCTGACCTCACTGTTACATTTCACATCTGCTCAAGTAAACCCTCAAATACATTGGGTTTTTTTTACAAACTGAACTGGAATGACTGACTGTTCACTTTATAATTTCAAATAAAGTTTGGAAAAAAAACATTGTTTTTACTGGGCTTCAAACAGCTTAAACTTCATTTAAAAAGAAGAAAGAAAACCAAATGAGTACATATTTAAATTTGCTGTCTTATAAGCAAAATTTGGTGCTTATGATACAGTAGAAAATGTGTTGAGAGGCATTTGATGTGAATCACTATGTCATTTGCTCCTTTCATATTCCCTGTTGATGGCTTTACTACAGGATTTAATATTTTTAATCTTCAATTAATCTTCATTTGAAGTGAATACATGTAAAAAAAAAAGTATAGTTTATTCAGAATGAAACACTCATAGGGAATTATAGTTAAATGCTGGAACAGTTAACAGAATGAAATAAATGAATCTAAAATGCAAGTAAAACAAAATTATTGACAAAACATTAAATAAAACCCACAAAAAAATAATCGTAGTTGTACAATTTATTGATCTTTAAATATTATATTGTTTTCTATTCTTTTCAACGTGTAAATCTCGCAGTTTGATGTCAAGCCTTTAGGGAAATTATGAAAAGACCGACGTTAACGCTTCCGCGGTTTTATTTTGATGGATGTGGAAAGGAAGCCGTTTTTCCTATTTTATTGTTGAAAGCAATAACCGGAAAAGTGTTTTGCTGTAATCCAGTTAACTTGATGACAGTACAATCGGAGGCGGATCAGCGGGGAATGTTTCATATGAGCCGGTACTGGCACCGGCGAGCTGTCGGCGCTTAATGAAGGGTGGAAGTGTGTGACTGTGTACAGAGGGACAGCTGGGATTTAATGCCGAGTGAGGCCGCTAATGTGTGGACGGTAAAAGCTGATGAAGTTCACCAGAGATATCTGCCGGCTGCTAGGCTTAAGAGGCGGTGAGTAATACTGCCAGCCAGCCGTTACCAACTTTCGGCTCCTCCGTGAAATAAAGTGGTGACACTGGTTGGTTGCTCTGTGGACTTTCTGTTTTTATTGAATACTGTATCTCAGAGCCCCTATTGTCCAGGCTTCAGTAGCACTCACAATTAATAACTTTCGGAAATAGTCTGTATATGTGTTAGAAAAATATGCCAGAAAGATGTATAAAACATAAAGAGTCAAACAGACTATTCAGAGATTCAGTAGCTGTACTGTTATCCGTCACCTGCCAACATATAATGATGTTGGTGGCATTTTCCGAGTTTCTATAGTTGCTACATTGTTACATTTACATATGAATGAAGTGTGGCCTTTTTGAGTGTTATAAGACCAAACTGTGTTTTTAGGTTAATAGAAGTTGGACTCAGGTGGAGAGTGGGCGTTTTAGTCACTCCTGCCTGTAATTTTAATTGTTCTTCGTGTTTGTGTAAGTGACCTGATTTTACAGTGAGTTCTGACTTGAGTGAGAGCCCAGAGCTCACCAAAGTAACATTTCTGGGGAGAAATGAGGGCTCTTTGGAATTGTTATCAGTGTTTATGTATAATACACATACCTTGGAGACAATCACAAACCAACCACAGTAATAGTAACTGGCCATCTATGCCTTTATTGTATTTGAAGAAGGTTATTGCCAGAGCTGCCACCTGTTTCACTTTACTTTAATCCGAGTTCAGCTTCATGCACTATATGTATTTACACAATCCTATTAATGTCCCATTGAGTATCAGGTATGACATTACTGATTTATAATACTAGTAATATTTTTACACATTCACACACATGCACACACACCATTGTTATTGCCAGTTGATTATTGTTAGCTATGTGTGACTAATAGGCCAGTAGCAGCCAACAGTAATCCATGGCTTTTATAGGAATCATTCAGATTACTAAAGTGCTGTGAGGTTTTGGAGATTGGTTTTGTGGCATTTTGCCTTTTTTAAAACCACTATAAATAAAGGATAAAGAAAGATTGCTCTGGAACATGGTTTTATTGGCAGATATCCTGAGTTGAGGTATCAAATGACCAACAGGGTTGGTGCATCACTAATTTATAACAGTGTCTGTTGTGAACAAAGCACATATATGAGCATCCAAGTTATTATTACTACTGAGTAATAATAATCTGAGTTTTTTGTAGTCTGTCTCACTCATATAGATCTGCTATGTAGTGTGTAAACAGAGCATACAAATGACATTGACCGAAGACCCTTTAGTTCCAAAGGCTATTCACACTTTTAAACAACTGTTTAACTAAAGTTAAAGAGTGAACACTACAAGGTAAATAGTTCACTACAGCAGCTTGCTGTTTTTAAAGCTGAACATTATTTTAAAAGTCATTTATAAAGTCTGCATTTATACTGATGGGTGCCACACAGTTCATATTTAAGACCTTTATGGCTTCAAAATTGTACTTTTGGTCTTCTGTTATGATGATTTCCATTTCTGTTTGCAAATGAATTAGATCTTAGGTGCCCTGTTTGGGCGTTTACTATGTTTAGACTCAGCTGGAAAAGGATTATAAGCCCAACCAAAAATATTTGACTGACAAATGAGCTGCACGCCAGCCCCACAAGAATGTACAGGAACTGGTCTGACCACCACTGTAACCTTTAAGTTTATGGTCAGCCATGACCGGTAATAACGTCATCCATGTAATGAAGACTTAATAAAAGTGTCTACACTCCAAATATGGGGCATTCAAGCCAGCAGCAGGAGACAGAAAATAAAAGTTGAATTTTACTGAAAGCAGTAAAATGTACTTTAATTTTGTTTGCATACAAACAAATTTGGTGCCCTCCGCAAAGAAGTTTTGGCCTTTCCTCAGTGGGAAAATCACCATGAAAGGACTTTTAATGAGAAGACTTTTAAACAATTTTTAAAATTAGGGATTCAATTAATTCAGCACCATATACATTTTTAAAAATCAAATTACTAGAAATAACAGGAAAACTTGTTTGTGAACATCAGGAGAACAAAATCACTCATACAATACAGACGTACAGATGTATGACAATAAACAGGACTTTTATGTGCCTGGGGTTCAGTGCTGTGCTCTATGGTGGGGTGCACAGGGGCATCAAATACTAAAAGACTAAAGAAAGTGATTTATAAGTCAGTGAGGTTATGTATTGGTTTGGAGCTTGAATCTCCGTCACACATGCCTCATCTCACGCAGAAGCAGGTTCAGCAAACCACTCATTCCACTGCAATGTACCAAAGAGCACTACAAGAAATACCTCCTTCCTTTGTACTTTTATTTTTCAATTTTTTCAGTTACATTTTTCCCTAACCACCAAAGGTACATGTTGAGACAGAATTTTATGAATGAAAATGAAACCTGAAACTAAATCCAAACGGAAATTCCTTATGTATGACATGGCCTTTAACTATGTCTATGTAGTTGGTTGCTAGTTGACATTCCAGGCTCTGTTTGCATAGTTTACTTGCTAAATTTAGCTGTGAGCCTGCCCACTTAGTGCCACAGTTTTCTAATTTTGCTCAGTTTCCGTGCTATTCAGTGTTGGGCAATCGCTGAAAGTGTCTATCCATATGGATGCCCTTTGTTTTTTTAAAACAAATTTCTCTTTTAATCCCATGAGGAGAAGACTTCATCAGTGATGACCCCAACCTTACCATAAATCAGGAGTTTGACAGTCGCTTGGATGTACTTCTGAGTGTATGCTGCTTCAGCCTCCATCTTAGTTCTTGCTACTATGTGGTGGATAGTCTCCGGGTTAGTTTTGCACTTGGAATATAATGTGTGGGTGAATAATTTTGGAAATATAGTGTTTCTATATAAAGTACAGATGTAAAAGCACTGTTGTGTTTATATTGAAATAAAAACATGTTGTCACTGCAGTCAATGAAAAGTTGTGACAAATTATTATGATCTCAATGTTGAACTGTGTTGGCTGTAATCGTGCAGCCCTTCCTAATCGTCCACATAGGATGCAGACTGCTGTGATGTGGAAACCACACCCTGTGGAACATTAATGACTTTCAAGTGATGAAAATGCAAAGAAAAATAGGCAGGTATTGAACTCAGCTTGTTTTTAGTTTCACTGAGCGTATCCTGGGATCCTGTTGATATACGATGGCGTGGCGTATATGTTAGCGACACACCACGTGTGACGAGCACCCACATGGATGCCCTTTACGGTGGATACACCAGTATCGAATGATAATGATAGAAAGACTTGAGAGACCCACTTCTTAGAACATCAGTAGTCATGGTGATCAGTTTGAGTGGGATCATCTACAGGTAACCTGCCAGATCCATGATTAAATATCCGTGTGTAATATCCCATATAGAAAAGAAATAGAAAAAACTTTGCATAAGATGTGGCCTACTTCATATAGTGAATCATATAAGGCTTACATGATTTACTCATGAAAGTGGCCACTTTCTCATTACTTTCATATATTGTTTTAGGAAGTATCCAAAACATACAAGTTTCATTTATATAATTTTTCAAGGGATCTTATATCTGTTTTAATTCTTGTTTGCTTTTCATACAAGTTTCACACAAGACAGATACAAACTTTATAAGATTTAGATCTTTTCCATATGGGATAATATGCACTCAGCTCATGTACATTTAAAACTGATGATACACTTTAAATTCATCAT